AGCGCGCGTTCTACGTTACAAAAGATATCAGTTAAATTATTCAAACACAAATTAAACGACATTCATGCAATTAATTCATCAAGAAACTAGTCATACATCATGATCAACCCCTTCATCAATCCCAATCCCTATTTAAACTACTCACAATTCATAATTGAAGAATCAATAGAATTGGGAAGAATAGAATTAATTGTCATTAATTAAAAAGATGGAACTTACAAAGAATACCAAAAGATTGATGAACAAGGCTGAAAAGCCCTCTAAAGTTCGTGCTAGGCACTCTCTCTAAGCTCCCTCCTCTCCAAGCTCCCCCTTGAAAACGGGGGTTTACAGGCTGTTTAAATAGAAAAATCGGGTGAAATTTGAGCTGAATTAGGATTTTCGGAGCCAAGCACGATCGTGCCTTCGATCGTGCCTCCGGAGCGAAAACGCGCATTTTGGGCAGGCATGATCGTGCCTCCCTCCAGGCACGATCGTGCCTGGCTGGCAGTAACTCCGCGGTGCTTTCTCTTCACGCACGATCGTGCCTGACTTTGAGGGCACGATCTTGCCTACTTAACTTCCGAATTTGGCAATGCTTCCTTCATGAAAGTTGTAGATAATGAAGTCCTATATCCACTCCAAGTTTCCGAATGTGATTTTAATCATCCAATCAAGAGATATGATCAAAACGGTGGAAGATGTCTTTCTGAAATCGCAGCAGAGATCATCTGACTTCATTGTCTGTTTTCACCTTCTTCCTCTCAGATTCTCGCAAAGGTGTCTTCATATCAATTGTATCCCTTGAAGTTAGCTTTCATATGGAACTTGAATCGTGTACATTGGATGTTTCTACAAAGAGATATGCTTGAACGATTGACAGAAGGTCATCCTGATCGTCGTTTTCAAGCTTCATTCATCTTCTTTTGACTACAAACAACACAAAACTCGAACCAACGCCCGGTAAACATAACTTGAGCTAAAACTGAGACTTGTAACACCTTAAAGATAGGAAAATCATCAAAAGACAATCTCAACACACATCAAATGCATGTCAAAATACGGACTTATCACCCTCCAATATCCATTCATTGTGATAGTCAAGCTGCAATTGGAAGGGCAAGGAATGCAGTTTATAATGGTAAGTCTAGACACATCCGTCGTAGCCATAACACCGTTAGAAAACTAATTAAAAATGGGATCATCTCTCTTGATTATGTTAAGTCAAAAGAAAATATTGTGGATCCGCTAACCAAACCTCTACCGAGTGAGTTGGTCGAAACATCAAGGAGAGCGATGGGCCTACGGCCAATGATCCAATAAAAAGTCCATGGGGAAATCCTACCTATTATTGAGAGTGCCTCATAATTAGGTTCAAAGGGAAAACACAACTGTGGACTGGCTCGGGCGGTACTAGCCAAGATATAGTACACTCATGTCATGAGCACTTAGGGTAAGTTACGCTTTTAATGATCTCTATATCTTGATAGGTTGAAGTAAGGTATGACATGATACCTTCCATAGAGATCACCTATGCTGGTGGAAGAAGGCCGCTTCTATGAGAGTCTATGGCACGAGATAAATTCTCCGGTGCACGATATACTCTTGAAAACACTAGCTGAACCAGGAGGTGTTCAAGGCCGAAACGAACACAAACGTGAGAACCAAAGATGCACTCAGAGCTCTGTGTGTTATTCATTGTCTAGGTTTACGCTAAGGCTGACAGTTCAAGGCAGAAATGGTCACTGATTGGCCGGTAAATCCGATGGATATACACTAAGGTAGGTTCAAAGTTTCACGACTACCTAACCCTATGCAGAGTTCCCATCTTCCCATGTCAAATTCCAATCGGTTTCCTGTCTTTAAGCCAATTTCCCATTCATGTGGGGGGATTGTTGGAAAAATGGTTTTACAAATTAATATTATGGTCATTAATATTATTTGGAAAAACCATTCTGAAATGAATGAGAAATTGTTCCCCGAAAGATAAGCGTGAAATTATATTTAACCCGCTCACACCGCCGCCGTAAGTCAGCTGGCTCGGGTCGGGTTCGAGTCTCACCGGACATCTTCGTATGGCTAAAGACTGGAGATTATTTTGCTAGGTTTTTATTCCTTTTCGGATAAAACCAAATAGAAGACACAACTATTCGTTTTAAAAGAAAGGTCATGAACTTTCTTTTAATAGGTGTCTTTTGGGTTAGAGACTCCTGGCCAGAGTTCTATAAATACCCGCATTGTCTTCAATTTTGGGACATCCGAAAATCAACAACAATCCTCCATATTCGATCTCTTCCTTTCGTTGCATCTTTGAGTTAGCCGGTATTCCGTTGGGGGCGAAGAACCGTTCTATCCTGGGAGACGATTGCTACGTGTGTCGGGCAAAAACGTCTTGAAGAAACAACGTTTATGTTGGACTCGGTTACAAGTATTCTTACGTTTTCCCTTAATTATTTATTTGTTATTTCATTTGCAAGCAGATTATTGTCTATACATATAACAGATCGGGAGACCGCAAAGGTGGAAATGGAGGAGAGGCCAACATGAAAGGGAAACGGTATGGTTATAGTAAAAAGGTGTATTCGATCCTTTTTCCTAATAAAGCACTAAAACCCAACTTGATCTTCATACCTAAAATTGCAAAACCATAACCATAACCATCACAGTTCTCAACCCCCAATTGCAAAAGCTCCACAATTACATTTTTGTTTTGTAAAAATGAACAGATAATGGGATGCAAATCTCATGAATACCTAAATTTGTATCACACATGGATCTAAAATTCTAAACTAAGACTAGATAACAATTTAGGATATGAAAAATGCTGCAGAAACCAATTGATACCATCAGGGATTATAAAATGGTATTTTTTTCAAGATTGAATGGTGTCCCCAACTTGAAATAGACTCTCAGATCCTATTATTGGGATTATTATGCAATGTTTTACTACTACCTTCATCCCACTAATATTGGGACTAGGGGTGGGCATAAAAAACCGTAACCGGCATACCGAATAAAGAAACCGAAAATCCGGCATTTTTTTGGTTAACCGTACCAAGTGTTTAAAAAAAACATGGTACGGTTAACCCACCACAAGGAAAAAGCGGTACATGGTATGGTTAAGGTTTTTAAACTATCCCTAAGTTGGTTAACCGATAACCGGACGTTTAAACATGATACACTTTGTATATGCCATCAAAATTTGTAATTGCAAAACATTACTACACGGCTACATCACAGGTGGTTTATTCATCCGACAACAACCATGTTTTGAATTCGGGTGATTTCTGAGAATACGGGAAAACCTAACATCCAACGCAAAAATACGGGAGGGAGTTTGGCTAGGTTTTCTTAAAAAGAGGGATTTGGAAATGGGACTTCCAATTGGAATGATTAGGTCGGGTGGGTAGGAGGGGTAGGTTTGCCAGGAGGGGGTGGGGGTTGGCTAATTTAAAATCCCATTTATTTATAAAGAGATGTAATTTTTTAAATTTTAACCCAAATTTTACAAAAATATATATCAAAATTCATAACTTTTTATTATCTTTCTAATGACACCAATATTCTATATATAATTTTTTTTTTGAAATTTTAATAGTAGAAAGTTTTCAGACCCAAAATTTTTCTTAAATAGATTCAAGTGCTAAAATTAAGATCTCACTATTCACATAACTATTTTACATGTTTCAATTAATTTTAAAAAATGTTATAATTCTATCATTCGGATCTATCTAAAAAAAATTGAATCTGAAAACCTCATACTATTGAAATTTCAATTTTTTTTTTTAAAAATTATATATGGAATACTGGTGTCGTTAGAAAGATCACAAAAAGTTATGAATTTTGATATAATTTTTATAAAAAATAAAGTACAAATAAAAAAGTTACATCACTTACTAAAAAACTCATATTTTAAATTAGCCTCACCCCTACCTCTCCCCCTTCCTCCTCCCCACCCCACCACCACCCATCATCCAATTTGGAATTGGGATTTCCAAATCCCGTAAATTCATCCAAGAGAGCAAAGTCCCGTTTTTTGGAATGGCATTCACAAACCCCCGTGGTTTAAGAATTTCCTCTTTGAATTCAAACACAGTATATTTTAAGAAAATAAAATAATGCTGCGTAAAACACTTCATCTAACTAGTAATTATAATGGGTGTAATAATTACATACACTGTGCATAATTATTTCTTCTAATTTATTAGAGCATCTCCAATGCTAGAATGTGCACGGTGCACATGTGGCATGAGAGATAATCACATAAATATTAGGAAATAAAATATCTCTCTCCTTATTTAAATGATGTTATACAATTTTGGTAAGTTTTTCCTTGCAATGTCAACTGCAATTTCAACATCTAGACGGTCTCTTTGAGATTGTGGAGAAAAACATACCAAAACTGTATAAAATCATTCAAATAAGGAGAGGAAGAATTTATATAATAATATTTATGTGGCTATCTCTCATGCCACATGTGCACCGTGTACTTTGCAGTATTGGAGATGCTCTTAAGGAAAAAGTTGCTTTTAATTTTAAATACTATGTATATTAATGTATTAGTTCAATCATATCCTGCATTAGAGGCTGAAAATCAGGATCTCATTTTATAACCAGTATCTCATTTTATTAATTTGACAAATTAATTCATTTGTTATTTATTTCACGGTTATTTGGTTAAGCGTTTGTGGTTAACCGAAATTTCGGTTAACCGATGTAATGGTACGGATAGTGGTATAAAAAATATAGTAACCGAACTATCGGTTAACCGGAAGTTGGTTAACCGAAAGGCGGTTAACCAACCGGGCCCACCCCTGATTGGGACGGAAGAGGTGATACCGAAAAGTGAGTTTATATAGTTGATATTAATTGATAAAGTAAGAAAAATTTAGAGCGACACAAATTTTATAAAATTTGGTACGTAGCAGTTTTAGTGGGAGTATTTTTTTAGTGAAATGACTTGGAGTATACAGCGAAACGTAGGATGCACCAAAAGATTCTCCACTATTAAGGCACGAAAGAGGCTCCAATTATTATTATTAACATTAAAAAGTAAAAACACACATCTATCGCCTCTTTTTTCTGCTCCCATCGAAAACCAATGCCCGTTGAACGATTCATTACTTGATGCAACAAAAAACACTCAATTGCCCCTCTTTGAAAATGGATGTTTCACAATTAATCTCAAATTGAAATTTAGTGTATGTTTCATTTTCCCTGCATTGTGTGTGTGTGTATGGCTAGATCAACGAAGCAAGGACAAAACGGAGGAGGTGAGGAGATGAGATGACGACGTTGTTGGGTAAACTTTTCTCCCATTTCACGCGGCGGGTTTCAGATCTGGATTGGAGGTTTGTGTTGCTCATTCTCATACCCCTCTCGCTTATCGTCTACGCGTGTCTCTCCTCCGTCGCCACCCCCCTCATCCGGCCTGTTCCTTCGCCGGCGGCGAACAAAGCAAGGATCGCGGTTTGCTTGGTGGGCGGGGCTCGGAGGTTCGAGCTCACTGGGCCGTCCATCATCCAGAGGATTCTCAAAGTGTATCCCAACTCCGACCTCTTCCTTCACTGCCCGCTCGACTCCAATTCCTACAAGCTCTCCTTGCTCAGGGCTGCCCCCAGAATCGCCTCTGTCAAAATCTTCAACCCCACTCACATTAACGAGACTGAGTCACAGGCTAGAGTTCTCACTCCCCAGGACTCGCCCAATGGCATTCAGGTCCGCCCATTTACTCATATATTAAATTAATTAATTAATATCCAACAGCAAAGATAAAGTATGAAATGCAACGGTAAAGTATTGACTTGCCTCCTTAACTTTAAGAAATGTTTAATTTTCAGTTTCTACGTGCTAATGTGCTATTAATACTATTGCGTTTTTCTTATTTTTATTTTCACTTAACTTGAAATAAATTACGTTTTATATATATGTACATAATGCGAAGTAAATTTCAAGAATTTATTTAACTGTCTTTCCGATTTAAATTTGAGCTGCAATTTGGTATGAAAAACATGTTCAAAAAATTTCATCAAAAAAATCCATCAGGAACAAACCCAATTTTTTCACAAAAAATTGGTATTTCCTATTCATCGATGATAGTTATTAATAACGAGACGCGTTCATTAATAAAACTTACTATCAAGTGAATATAGAACGTGCGTCGTATATTGACCTGCTAGTAGGCAGTAGCAATAAAACTTAAGATGAAATCGACTGAGATTGACAACTTCAACACAAGCGGTTTATTGGTTTAATCAATAATTAATCCCCCTTAAATTATTAACCATGACACACATACATTAATAATCTAAGTTTACTAACGTTGAAAGGACCAAGCGAGTAACTAATGTATTCGTCGATCGATTCATGTAATAATTAATATATGATACTAATTGGTTGATCAATTAAGTAATGCTTAAATATTAATATGAGATATAAAATAGGAATATAATTAATATTCCAAGAAGATGGTTTAAAAAAATAACTCACAACTTACAAATTATAAGCTTCAATGTAGCAAAACCAAAATGGAAGGGTTTAGCTCCTCATTTGTAGACTAAACATACTAGAAAAATAAAAAGAAAATACTTGTCTAAACTGAGTTTAGAGGTATATGAGAATTGATACCTAAATGGGAAGGAAAAGAGGTGTATTTATAGGTGTTTGGAGGTGGCAGGGTAAGATACCCGATCGGGTATATAGGATACACGATCGGTATATCCTTAGTATTTACTCGAAACCTTCATAAATCACATCATACCTGATTGGGTATGTATGTTTATCCGATCCGATAAAAACAAATCTTGCCAAATCTTTGTAGTCATGCACGTTTAATTGCCTTCAAATCAGATTTGATACTCGGGTTAAGTCAATACCCGATCGGGTATATGTTATATACGTGACCGGGTATATGAAGTTCCCAAATCTTCACTTTATTTTGTTCTCTTTCATTTTCCTTGACCTTCCAAGGATCCTTTTGATGATCTTTACCTGGTTTAAGCCCTGAATAATCCTAATCTAAACAAATTACAAACAACTAGGAAAAATAAAGTATTACATCAAAAGTGTGTGATTTCCCAATTAAAAGTATAAAACTAGTTAAAATTACAAACATAAACAATAACAATTATATACTATCAATTGTGGTAGTATAAAAAGGGGAGATTTCCCTAAATAGGACTAAATAAAAGTACTAATATACGGAGCAATTAATACTTTCCATAAATAAATATAATTGTAGTGCTTGCAAAGGTAATTTAAAGGCTAATATTAAGGTAGGCGCGAATAATTGGAGAAATCTGATTGCACACCCTATTTTTATTTATATAAGTGCAATGTTTTTAAATAATTTATATATGTAACTGGTTTTCCTATTGAATTTTAAACTAAAATTACGTGGATACAATGTAAACTTAATGAAGAGCATTTTTATGAAAGTTCTCCTGATGATTCTTCCTAGAGCTCTCCTCTACATTGACATTATATAAAATTTCCCGATAAAGTATTAGAGGAATACTAAGTCAAGATGCAAGCCACTTTCGTTTTGGGGGAACATACATATGCTTAGTTGTAACTACTCACTAAATAAATATTGTGAAATTTGGTACATGGATATGTAATACTCGGTAAATGTTTGCACTTTGCAGGGGTTGTTGCAATATTTTAATCTTGTGGAAGGTTGTCTGACAATGATTCAAGCACACGAAATGAAGAAGAGGTTGAGGTACGAGTGGATTGTCCGGACGAGAGTGGACGGGTACTGGTCCGAGGAGCTGGGTCCGACGCACTTCATTCCGGGGCGGTACATCGTGCCGCCGGGATCGTCATACGGCGGCCTGAACGACCGGATGGGCATCGGGGACATGAAAACCTCGGAAGTGGCTCTGTCCCGCCTGTCCCTGATTCCACAGCTGGAGGCGGCAGGGTACGAGCAGCTGAACTCGGAGAGAGCTTTCAAAGCCCAGCTGACAACCGCAGGGGTGGTGTACGCGACCCACCGTGTGCCCTTCTGTGTGGTGACGGACCGGCAGTACCCTTTCCCGCCGGGCCCGATGGGAGTCCCGGTGGCGGCGATCTCCAGCCGGGGGCCGCTGAGCGGGGCAAAGTGCAGGCCGTGCACGCCTTCCTGCACCGGGGAATGCATTCCTGCGGTGATGGGGCAGCTGAACCGGGTGTGGAGCTGGACGGACTGGGCCAACAACAGCATAGAGCTGTGCGACGCCCACGGCGAGTGGGAGGAGGGGTGGGAGAGCATCTTTGACCAGGTCGCCGGCAAGAAGCTGGCGGCAGTCAGGAAGCGGGTGACGAAGATGAGAGTGAAGCAGTGCGTCAACGATTTCAAGGCAATGAGATTCAAGTCGGCTTCTTGGGACGCTCCTCCTGTCACCCAGATGTGTCGCCTAGGCTTACAATCCGCCTAATCAATTATATTTGTTCCCCTATTTTTTCTCTTGAGTAAATTCTGCAACGACTAATAAAACTGCAGGAATTCAATGTTCCGCATAATTCCATAGGAGTAGAAATATCAAAAATCCTAATTTCTTTATTAAAAATATCAACTAATTAACTTAAAATTAAAATATGTTTGTTGCACATATCCACCATCCATAACAGATGAGTTCTCTTGCGCCGACACCACCTATTGCTTGCACCAGCAATTTCTGCCAGCTGCCACCGGCCGCAGGTGCCGCCACCAAATGCCACTTCTAGATACTGCCAGGCCGCCACCATCTTCATCACTGCCTTTGCCTCCGCCGCCCGTCACTACTGAACTAATGTTATAACTATCACCCTTCTTCTTCGGATTTGGCTCCCTACCGCCTATATAAATTCAATTAAGAGTGTTGTAAATATAATCTGGTTATTTGAATGCTATTTGTATGAATAAAGAGGATATGAATTTTATTGTCATCTTCACATTTTAATGGCATTATAAAAGGGGAAAGTTCCCGAAATAGGACTAAATAAGTTTGAAAATTCCAAAATAGGACTGTCATGTTTTTATTCCCAAAATAGGAGTAATTACTGTCAAGTTTGGAAAATACTGTCATCTTTAAAGTCTGGTATGCCAAAACATGACAGTAATTAGTCTTATTTTGGGAATAAAAACATGGCAGTCCTATTTTTGGAATATAGAAGTGCTTTTAGTCCTATTTAGGGTAATTTCTCTTATAAAAGTGTATTTGAAAGAGCAGTAATATATATTGTCATCCTCATGAGTTAGTGTCATACAAATGACACCAGTGGGAGAGCCACACTTGATCGAAAGTGTTCAGATGAACATTTAAACTTTTAAGAAACATGGATATATATATATATATATATATATATATATATATATATATAGTGCCGTTCTTGTCCAGCCGGCCTGACGGGATGCTCCGTCCGGCCGAGGGCATTTCGGGTACTTCCCGGTGGAATTTTTTGATGAAATTTTTTGAGCATGTTCTTCATGAAGTCTAGTTTATCCATACCAAATTTCAGCTCAAAATTCGATCGGGAAGGCATTCAAATAATTTTGTGAAGTTAACTGGGCAGTTTATATGTATGAACTGCCCAGTTAACTTCAAGAACTTATTTGAGTGCCTTCCCGATTGAATTTTTAGCTGAAATTTGGTATGGATAAACTAGACTTCATGAAGAACATGCTCAAAAAATTTCATCAAAAAATTCCACCGGAAAGTGCCCGAAATGCCCTCGGCCGGACGGCGGTTCCCGTCAGGCCGGCTGGACATGAAAAGTCCTCTCTCTCTCTATATATATATATATATATATATATAGAGAAAACTTCATGTCAGGCCGGCCTGACGGGCTTCCCCGTCCGGCCGAGCCCGTTTGGGCACCTTCCCGATGGAATTTTTTGATGAAATTTTTTGAGCATGTTCCTCATCAAGTCTAGTTTGTCCATACCAAATTTCAGCTCCAAATTCGATCGGGAAAGTCGTCAAATGATTTTTGCAAGTTAACTGGTCCGGAATATGTATTTTCCGGACCAGTTAACTTGCAAAAATCATTTAATGACCTTCCCGATTGAATTTTGAGCTGAAATTTGGTATGGACAAACTAGACTTGACGAGGAACATGCTCAAAAAATTTCATCAAAAAATTCCACCGGGAAGGTGCCCAAACGGGCTCGGCCGGACGGGGCAGCCCGTCAGGCCGGCCTGATGAGAAGAGCCCTCTATATATATATATATATATTAGTATTGTAACTGTCATCTTGATCTCATAACAATCGCACTATATGTCGAAATAATAATTGTACATGGAAAAACATTTTATGGCATTACTTATACTGTAATTGTCATCTTGATTTTATAAAGCAGTCACATAAAAAATATTTACACTTCAAAAATATGACATTATTAGTATTGTTTGTATTTACAAAGTTGAAATCTTTTCATCTTAATACCATAAAACTACTGATTATGTCGATTTTATGTCAATTTAAGATACAAATATGAAAACAAATGTGAAGGGTGCACCGATTCAAGGAATCAACAAGTAAAGAAGAACTAAAGATCAGGCATAGCTGACCTGGGGTATATTCAAGGACAATCATATCATCCTCACCTATGTAATGGCCCATAAGGAAGGGTGCACCATCAATAATAAGTTTGGCGGCGTACTCGTTTCCCTCAGTGAAAATCGGCATAGTCCATCTCTGTATCAGCTCTCCCCACTTGTTTACGTACAAATGGTAGTTTACCCTTCAAGGGGGAGATCCATACGCATGTCTACCTCCAATTCATAAAAGAATCATGATAAGATTTAGCAGCGAAGAGGCGGTGGTCTGCCCTCTAGGAAATTGAAAATAAGTCTTGGGTATAGGAGCCACAGTATGGAAGAACGTTAAACATATCCAATGTAGGCCTGGTCTGCAGGGAGAGACATCAGGCAATAAATGTAGCTATGAACAAATGTGTGGTGGAAGTAAACTGATCAGGAATGACCCCAAAATGATCCATTATAGTCAGAAGAGCAGGATGGAGGGGAAAACGAAGGTCCACTTCTAAACTAGCAAGATGAACCTCGAAATGGGAAGGAGTAGGGGGTTCCGCTTGGAGTAGGGCGAGAACAGACAACACTAGGGTCGGCGAGGGGAACTGCCTCTTCAAACTCGGAATCCCAGATGGCGGCTGTTGGGGCCCTGCGGGTGAAATAATAAAAATTAGTCCACGGGAATCCGGGGTCTGTTGGAACCAGACATCTCATCATCAGGAAGACGGTAAGAAGCGGAATAGGATTAGACGAAGACATGGAAACTGACGTGAGCAATAAAAAGTAAAAAGTTGTGCTGAGACCTTTCTTCTTCTGGGGGTTGCAACTATGGGCGCAAGCTTGAGCAATTGAGTAAGGCGACAGAAGGTTTGCACGAAGGAGAAAGGTCCCCTTTTATTCTGAACCAAGATGCCTCAAGAGGTGAATGGGGAAGCGTGACTGAAAGCACTCGAGTGCTAAGGCGTAAACTCTGAAGTTGTGCACAACATGGCACGCCCACAAAATTAATGGCGAGCGCTAAACATACATCACATTCCCACTTTGGGGCAAATTCGAAAATTGAAATTCATTACTATCCTAAAATCAAGCCTGACTTATTTAGAGAGTAGGGGGCTCGTGATGGTACTATGGACTGTGACCATAGCCCAATTGCAAATTAAACGCGAAGCCCATTGTACGAGATTAATAAACCAGACCTATTAGACGGGATTGATTAACTAATAGAACCAACTAGGCCTATTCATTCTTTTGTCAAGGTGAGGAGAAGAAAACAGCATATCTTTTGAGGTTTATTTCTTCACCTCCAAAGGCCCAACACCTTCCCTTGAGTTTTGAGTAGAATATGTGATGCAAGAAACCAAAGGAGAACAAGTATTAAGAGTAGTAAGTGGGTCGTATCTTATTCAATCAATAATAAGAGGTCTGTTACAACACACTTCACTACAAGCCCAACGGGCCGATCATCTATCTGAGCTAAGAGGAGGGGGAATAATTGTTATTGCTAAGGAGTATAAGTTGTCAACCCTTTACCATGAAATAAATGTTACTATGTATACTACCAAGGGGTAGGTAATATTGATGATGTTGGAGGATCGTGAGTGGTTAGCTTCCCAACCACCAAATCTACTGCATTAAATGTGTTTCCCGTCAATATCCTGGTTTCTCGCCAAGGGATCTGGACAAGCATCCCCCGAATCTTGGATCCCGCCAATATCCTGGTTTCTCGCCAATACATCTCAGGACCTTATACTTTACAATTCAAATATGCAATCAACTTGTAACACCCCCAAATTTCCCACCCAAAACATTGATATATTTGGAATAAAACTTTTATTTATTGATAACGTCATTTGAAAATTACAGAGGAAGTCTTGATAGGGAAATGGGTGTTACTATACCGCCACATCCGGTCATCTCTCAACCGAATGCACAGGCAATCCCAAAACAAAGTAAACAAGTGCTAAAGTGTTTATTATTCTAGTCTAGGTTTAACTAAGGCATCTCTAAACCGCTCTCAAGACCATACAATCATCAGTCAACATCAGCATCATTACCTGCGCAAATAAAGTGCAGAAAACAAAACAAAGAAAAGGAAACAAAAATTAGCTTTAGAGCTAAGTAAGTACTATCCAACCCCGTAAAATACTATAATTTGGCACAAATAGTAATTATACACTACTATAGCTTTCAAAATTCATTTACTCATTAATAACACTACTTTCACGTTTAAAAATAATTTTTATACTCCAAATAACTCTCACCTTCACATAAAAGTATCACTTTGCAAAATGCGGCTTCTCAAAATGGCTTTTATAGTTGAAATAATCTTTAAACATCTCCAAAAGTAATAACACAATTCTTCTAAAAAAATGTCTCAACTTGACTTTGAAAACAATCTCTCAGTAGTTCTTCTCTTTTCAAAACAATGTTGCTATCACTCCTAATTTCTTTTAAGATGAGCGGTACTTTCGGATACTTATGCCCGAAGCCCAATGAGTCGTTGTTATTTACGAGCTCATCCCGGAAACCGGTTCCCACCACTACTACTATTGGAATCGAAACGACTACCTTAAGTGTGCACACCCCCTAAAAGGGATTCCAAGCCCTCCGAGTAGTCAGTCATCTCGAGTAGTCGGGACTCAGCCTACCAACTACTCCTCCTCTATAAAATCAAGTGACTAGGAATTACTACTACTATGCCTGGGATCAATGATCCGAATGTCAGGTTGGCTACCGACCTACTAAAACTGTACTCCAAGTAGTAGTAACCCTAAACACCCTCCACATTTATCCGGATGTGGAAAAACCGACACCATGAATTTCTCCCGGATGCTCGTCTCTTATGAAAATGTTAATTTTCATCTTAAAAACAATACCCTTCAAAGTATTTCTCAAGTCTCCAAAATATTCTCAATGGTATTTAAAAAAAATATCTAGTACCCCATAACTCAACTTTCTCAAATACCATAAATTTAATGCCACTTCAAATAATCCATACTCAAATTTCACACTTTAATCGCATAATAACATATAGTACGAGGAAACAATTTTGGATCGGCAAAGAAACTTACCTCGAATCGCGATAAATCCTAACTGAAACTTCTACCTTGATCTTCTTCGAATTCACCTTCTAGAATATTAAAATTCTAGGATTAATAATTTACTTATAATATGAGATTAACTAGCCCACCTTTAATTAATTAGCTCACTTAAAAGCATCCCGTTATATCAAGAAACAATGACCCAAAGATGACTATGGGCTTTACGGTGGACAAGTGTAAGACTTGGTTTAAATTTAGACAAAAAGGGGAGTAAAGATATATGAAAGGACTGAAACACCCATTGAATAAATACAACACCATCCATCCGCATCTCGCTGCGTCAATCTTCTCCTCTCCCCTTCCGTCGATCTGCATCGTTGGACGCAACCATTGTCGACGCAACCACCATCGCGCAACTACCACCGTATCCCACCATCACCTCAACCAGAATCGTCTCCCACAATCGCCGCAACCACAATCTCTTCTTCTCCACTCCTCCATGGCGATTGAGGAGCCATTGGCTCCGTTTTTTGGCGACTGGACGATGAAATGGTTTGGATCGCCGTCATTTGTCGATTCAGTGTGGATACAGTCTGACGTCGGCGGTGGAATGGAGGCTAGGGTTACAAGCGGCGATGGTGGCCATTGGGGGGTTGAACCGTAGTGGTTGGAGCGTTGTTCGTCTATTCGACAAGGATAGATTCCGACGGCAGTAGAGATGTGGTTAGGGTTATAGTCGGTGGTGGTTTGTTGGTGGTCGATTGGCTAACTTGGGGCTGGGGTTGGCTGGCGGCTCAAGTTACGAGCGATGCGAGGCGGCTAGGAGATGGGCCGGGGTGAGGGGAGGGCTGGGAAGGGGCGGTGGGGACGTGGGTTGCGGGGGCTGGTGGTGGTAGGGGTTTTTGGGAGCTGGGGAGGCTGGAGACAGGTTGGGGTGGCTGTCCGCCGGAGAGGTCAAGAGCGGAGTGGTAACTGACGTGGCGGTTGGTCACCGGCATTGGTGGGCGGTGGCGTTGATGGCCGGAGTTTGGCAGTGGCAGGGGGTGGCAGTGGCAGGGGGTTTCGGCCCTTTCGGGGATGGGGTTTGGGTTAAAGACGGGCCATGGATGCTGTCTACCAGAGTGGGTGTGGCGGCAGGTCACCGATGGTGGTGGCCGGCAGTGGTGGCTTGCGCTGGTCACTGTTGGAACGTAATTGATCGGACCGTGTAATCGTAACTGATCGGATTGAATAACTATAACTGGTAAAATATGGCTAATCGGGTAACTGGCCGGGTCGGATATTTTTTTATGGTTGGATCGAATAACTGTAATTGATTGGGTCAGATAACTGTAACTGGATGGGTTGGTAATTGTAACTGGACGAGTCGGGTAACTGTAACTGAACGGGTCGGGCAACTGTAACTGGATGGGTCGGGTAACTGTAACTGGAAGGGTCGGGTAATTGTAACTGTACGGGCGGACGTTGGTCACTGTACGGACGGACGTTTATCACTTGGCGGAATTTAGATTTTTTGTCACTAATACTTTTTGGTCACTAATGATTTTTGGTCACGTAACTATAAATAGTTGGTTAATAATTGTAACTGATTTGATTGGATAATTGTAACTGGTATGGTCGAGGTTATTGTAATTGATGGCGGGTGCATATAATTGGTCGGGCGGACAATTGTAACCGACGACGAGTAAATGTAACTGATTGGGCGAGTAATTATAACTGATCGGGAGAGTAAATGGAGCTGGTTAGACTGATAACTGTAACTGATCGGACGAGTAAATGTAACTGGCAGCGAATAATTGTAATTAATCATATGGATAATTTTAAGTAATTGAACGTATAAGTGTGTAACTGTAATTAATTGTAATTGTAAATCAACTGAATAAAGCATAAATTAATCAAAGTCATACAATATTAATCAAAGTCATACAATAAATTAATCTATGACTATTGCATTTTAAGAAAAATGGAATTTGCAGCAAAAGAAATCACCAGCAAATTTTAAGCATGGCTCCGTATTGAATAGAAAGCAGGGTACGATCAAAAAACGAAAGCAGGCATTAATGACATTTTCAATCTCAAAATTTTAAAAGAAACATACGGATGTCTCTTTTTTTGGAAGAAACTAAATCAGGTCCTATATTTGTCCAAACTCATTTAATTAGTAGTATTCATGACCTAATCCCTTATATCAATTCGACCAGTCTTCACAAATCCTCCAATTTCCATTATAATTTATCTGTTTAACTAACCGGCTCAATTAGAGGAACCCTGATTATTCCGTCCAATCCATTTAACTAGCCTAACAATTTATTTTGATTAATTTCCTAACTAACCAAATTAGATTCCAATAGGTAATTCGTTCATCTTATAATTAACTCAAAACATCAATTTTATTAATATCCTCCTAGCATTTAGTTCGGCCAACTCAAACAGTCCATTAGTCACCTTAAATTAATATGCGTAGCCCAAAACGTACCAATCCAGCCTAGAAGTGAAACAAGGGAAACAGATCTTACTGAATCGTCTTCTACGTTGATCGCAAACCGGAAACAAAGGAAGCGTCAAACGTCGGCTTCACTGCCTCTCGTCGTCATCAGCGGGCTGTCTAGGTGGTGTCGTGGCGGTCCAGCGGTGTTCTCCGGAAAGCCCTTCTCATCTGCGTAGCAGACAACAGTCCGACAACTTCAGCGACGACTCTTCCTCCGGCGTGGGCAGTCCAAGCGGCGTCTCCTCCGGCGGTGGGTTACGTTGAGCGGTGGCAACGGCTCCCAAACCCATTCCTCTCTCTCTTTCTTCTAGCTCTTATTATCTCTCTTTTTCCCTCACACTGTATTTTATTTTGTCGCAGAAATTCCCTTCGTATGGACTGCAACGACCTAGGGTTGTTCGTTTACTTAGTTTCGCACAGAGAAGTCCTTCAGTCGTTTGGGTATTTATATAGCAGGCCGAAAATTATTGTCGTCAGTTTCATATGCTAAGAAATTTTCTGCTTTAAATTTTCATTTAAAACTTTCCTTCGTAAAAGATATTCACGCCATGCGTGATTT